AGCCCATTGTTACGAAAACAATAGGTGACGTCATTGTCGGCACCTTTGAGGGCCAAAACGCATCATACCATTACTACTTATATTGTTATTAACTTTCTTTTTGTATTCTTCATTCCATTTTTGCCACAACAATTCCCTATCCAATGGTTCAAATTGACAATATGCATCAATATCCCAATCAATTTCAACATATTTAAAAGTAAAAAAAAAATGAATACGTTTTAAAAAATTTTTGGTGGCCAATGAATTATTTTCAATAGGGTGAGAGCTTTTTAAAACGTTGTTCAATTTTTCTAAATTTAAAAATAAATGTTCAAAAATTGGTTTTTTGTTTCCACCTTCCTTTGGATAATTATGCAAATATTCCATTACATAAAGTGATTCTTTCATCAATGTTATCAATGATGGTATTTTTTGTAAAATTGCAAATAACACTACAGCGCAATCATATCCATTTTCTATGGGACCTTCTTCGGGAATCAAACTTGTACAGTAATTTTCAAATTCTTTAAATATGAAAAATAGTGTTTTTAAATCTCTTGCATATGAACAATTTAAGAATAAAATCAACAAACGACTTTTCTTGTTAAATTTTTTTATATTAGTTGTTTTCAAAATGTCTACTGGATAATAAGAATCTCTACGATATGTAACACATATCACATCTTTTAAATCTTTCCATTCATTTCTTGTAACGACACTATTATATATATGAACCTTTATTTTTGAATTAAATTTTGATTCATTTAATCGTACAGCTAAAGCTAGTAATAAAAAAATATAAGACTCTTTCATAATCAATATAATTTTATTTTTTTTAAATAGAAGAAAATTAATTTATATGATTTTTATTACTTCAAAAAAAAAAAATGAAAATATGTATGCTATGTATCTGTTTTTAAATGATTTTTATATGATCTATATTATTATGAATCTATGACAAATATTAATATGTCTGTAAATAGAAAAATGTAATTTAAAAAAAAAAATACTGTTAAAAAAATTTACTGGTCTACAAGGAATTTTTATTCCTTATATCCGATACCAAAATATACTGTTCTAAACCCATTTTTGCGCCGATTTCAAATCTGAAATTAGAATTTCTCATATGGCCTAAATAATAACAAAAGCCATCGAATTAATATAACAAATATTTATATTTGATTATTAGGTTACGTATGTAGATCAATAAATATATTTCAATTAAAAATAAGTTTTATATGTAAAAGTTTTACTTTCTTTATGCACTTTAGTTAAGTTTTGTAAAATAAAATATAGAATCGAGAATTTTAAGACAAAAATAGCATACAGTAGCCATTTTCACCGTGAAGACAATTTTTAGCTTCGATGCGAAGCTGAAAAGGTATTAATTTTACTATGATGTGTTATTACTTTTTTTTTTTTGTTTCTGTGAACGCTCAAACTCAGCTCTCACTTGACCAATTTTGATGAAAAATATGTTAAAAGATCACAAATCGTATCTAGTCGAAGAAATTACCCTCAAAAATTGAAAAAAATTCCCTCGTTCCCCGTAAACGGGGGAAATCCGCCAAAAAATTACAAATTTAAAAATCGTTAATTTTCGACATTTCTTCAATTTTTTTTACTAAAAACTGCCGTAACTTTTTCAAAAATGAACATATTAATATAATTTTTTTTTTTATAAATACCTTAGGTATTTACCTATTATTTTATATATTTTTTTGAACATTTTACCCTTTATCAGCCCACAGGAAGAGTTTCAAAATGGTAACTTTTTTACAAAAAATTAACTTTTTCAACTTAACTTTTGAAAATGTTCCGGAAAGATTGAGACTTTTATATATACCTTAAATTAAAGCTATTGTATTATACTTTAATTTGAAAAAAAAAAATTTGACCTCTGGATTTGTCTTCGTGGTAAAAATGACTACCGTATTCATAAATATGCTATTTATGTGTTAAAGTTCTGGGTTTTGTATTTTATTTTATTTTAAAATACATGACAAGCTGAGTACACTGATTTGGATAAATATTATATAAATCAAATTGAATTAGCATAGAAAGTTAAACTTATTTAAATATGTTTGCTTTTTTTAAATCGAGAAAAATAACTTTGAAAGTTGAACTAGCTTAAATAGCCATATTTTTCAATTAGTGAAAGCGACGTACGGATGCCGGAGTCGATAAATTTGTGTTTTACGCACTTGGGTACATGGTTCCAACCCTCCTATGACACGGAATTTTTTGCATTTTTTTGCTAATTCTTTTTAAGTTAGAATAAATTTTCAACTCATTTGATTTTTATCTCATTTAGATTCAATAACTTCAATAAAGATCAAGTATCCAATCACTGTAGTCGCCACTCGCGAGAAGAAATTTCATATTCATATTAAAATTATTTTACTATATTTTAGGTTATAGCTTCAATGCAAAGCTGAGAAGGTATTTTTTATTTTCTCTGCTATAACTTGACCTACTTTTTTCAACGATGCGTCAAATGATTACAATTAGTTGAAGATATTACCCTCAAAAATTGAAAAAAAAAATGCTAATCTATCAATTAAACAGTTACTTAACCCATGTTCTCCATACAGACAATTAAAATCATTCATTTCTAATGTTTTCAAAGTATTTATTGACGAATAAAGTTTGATATGATAGGTTTCAAGTACAAAATTATATTATTTTATTTTGTAATTTAATAATTCTTTTACTGTATTTGTGTGTGCTACTACTAGAGTATAGTATTCCAAATTTTTTAGTAACATGTTGCTATATAAATCATTTCTAAAAAAAATGATTGTTAGTTTCTCCATAATTATCAATGGGTTTTTACAATTATAATCAAATTTTATAGTACGCTATTCAGAAGATCTTTTTAACCACTTTTTTAGCTTCGATGTGAAGCTGAGAAGTTATTAATTTTACTATATGTTTTTTTTTTATTGGTTATTTTAGTTAAAGTAAATCATTAAAATTAATTCAGTTTATATTTCAATTGTAGAATCACCAAAAGTTACTAGGAAATGATTACTATTATTTCTATTTAAGTTATCTATTACGATATAAATGCAATAAAATATTGAGCTACTCTGATAAATTTACTATAAATAGTAATTATAAAGTTTCCTGACTGCACATTAATCTTAACAATACAATTTTTTTTTATTCTCATAAAACTTGCAATTGAGCTAAAAGTTACGGTAACATATTTAATTTTTTTCTACCATAAACTTTCACAAAAACTTTTCATCAACTTTAAAGGACCAAAAAAATAGGTTAAAAATGAAATTTTGGACTGATAATTTTTAATATGTTAAAAATCAAAATCAGTAATAATTTGAAAACAAATATTTTTTTCTTTTAATTATTATTTTATATGTAATTAGTAATAATATAAAAAATAAGAAGTGCTAGAAAAAGTCTAATTGCAGATTTGAAAACAGCGCGAATGTTGATTTAGAAAAATATATTTTTGTTTTTGATCAAAGTTCCTTGTAGCCTAGTGTATTTATTCATAAGTAACAAAAGTTTTTTATTAAAAAGTATTGCATCAATCCTTTTAAATTATTATACACGTTAAAAGTAAAGGAATATACAACTCCTTTTTATCTCCGTAAAAATTACAATATTATATTATTATCAATCAATATTATATCAATATAATATTATATTGATATTGATATCAATATTATAATATTGAATATCAATTTCATACTAAATTTAATTACTATAATTATTATTATATATTATAATTATAAATCAAAAAAATAATTGGGATAAAATTAAGGGAATAAGAGTTATTGTTGCTTTTGAAATAATTTACCAATTTTTTAAAATTAAACACTATATATAGATTTGTATCGAACCGTTTTTTATCATAATGATTTTAATCACTGTCATATATCACTATACTTGGCTCAACTATGCCGTGTCCCCACTGTACCGCAACTCCACTGTGTTGGGATTTTTATTCATTACACTCTATTTAAAATTCCTTAAGATTTTTTTATGTAAACTGGCAGTAATTTTGTTTAAGCAAATTAAAGAGCATATAATAGCATATTGTTTGAAAGTAGAATAAACGGTTCTTGAAATTCCCCACAGTAATTGATACTGTGATATTTTTATTCTGACAGGTCTATTAAACCTTTCATATTGATTGTGAAGATTTATTTCACAAGAAATATGTATAAAACTTTAAAAAATATTAACCTATGACCAATAGCAACCTTATTAAATAGGTTATAGTATTAATACTATAAGAAATACCCTCATATTTTGCATTTTTTTGGCTATCTTTTTTTTTCTATACAAGGTAATTTTTATTTATATATTTTGTTTTATATAAACTCTAGTGTTGAGATAATTTCTGGATTATTTCATTAACTAAATTACTCTGGAGATAATATCATATTAAAAAATCATAGTTACATAAACGCTGAATAGATTAGAAATGAGAGGTGATTTATGATATTAACATGACTTTGTAAGTAAAAGAATTTATCAGACACTTTATGTAATATTATATTATTTTATTTTATTCTTTGTATACATTTTTAATTCATGACATAAAATAAGAAAGTTTCAATTTTTTTTACTACGAAAAAGCTTTTTAATGCAATTCAAGTAATACTTGTAAAAAGTCATTCCTGGTCTATTTATTTATGTGTATAATAATTTTTTAATTATTTTAATTAAAGATTATTTCTAAAAATAAAAATCCAAAAAAACATTTCAAGACTTATTTGCTATTAGTGCTAAAGAAATTGCAAAGATTAATTAACATTTTTTGACATTTTTATAGATGTGGCATGTCCATACTGTGCTGCGACTCCACTGGGCTACTGTTTTTTTTTTTTTTTATAATAAAGCATATTACATTAGCCTTATTTTAAGATATATATATATATATATATATAAAAGTGTCACTGTTTCCAAAACACTTTTAAAATATAAGTTGAAAAAGTTAATTTTTTGTGAAAAAGTTGTCTTTTTAATCCTCCTCCGTGAGCTTGTAAAGCGTCAAATTCATAAAAAAAATATACAAAATTATAAGGTAATACTTAATATATCTATTCAAAAAAAATTGTATTGACCCATCCATTTTTTAAAAAGTTATGGCAGTTTTAAGTAAAAAAACAATATAAAAATGTCGAAAACTACCGATTTTTAAATTTGTAATTTTTTTGGAGATTTCCTCTATTTACGGGGAACGAGGGAAGTTGGTTACTGACACAAAAAATCATGACATTGTACATGTCATTTTTTTTTTGTGTCAGTAAACCAAATCGATCAACTCCTACTAAATCAATTTTTCTAAAGGATATGTTAAGAGGTCACAAACTAGTCGAAGCTTCAAGTTTAATGATATAAAAAAAATGTCCTGAAAAGTTACAATTGATGTGAAATAGTCCATACGGACTGCTTGTGATAAATGGTGATGATTTTTTAAATTTTAGGTTTGGTCTAATTAAATTATAAATTATGATAAAATATAATATAGAATTGTTATTAAGCGATACGGTTAGTATTGAGTTACATGTCGTAATTTTGCCGAGAGACAGTAACGGATCAATCGTGTGGATCGACGTATCATCGAAGGCCTCCATGGTACGTCGGTAAAAAGGCAACTAACCAGGCGATTAAACTGTGCAAAGTGTGAAACGCGCCTTCGCTTCTATGGCCAGGCAAAAAACGCAATTGGCTGCATAAAATCGATAGCTGATCAATTTCGATTGAACGGTCTCGTGCAGCCGTTTGCGACACAACTGTTCACCGCCAACCTTGGGGTCGTCCATTTCTTTGACTCCTGCATACGACCAGGAGGGAGGTGTACTGGTGTATTTTAACCGAGTGCTGACCTCTTAGAAATTCATTGATCGAT